CTAGGGAGTAAGTGAAGTCCTGTTGTGCTTCCAGGTTTAGGACTCGGTGATCATTCAGTCTCCAGCACATTCATTTTGAATGAACGAAAACTTGAATTCTACTGTGAGAGTGTGTCCAAAACCACTGTGATACTTTTTTTACCATTTAATTTGAGGCTGCACTGCAAGTCATGATGTATTGTGTCTACAATTGGTCAGCCAGTAGATTACAGTGACCTAGTTCCTGATTTTAACATGGTTTGGAATAATATTTTGCAGATGCGAATGGTTCTGATTCCCCTGTCAATCACCTGAACCGTCATCTCAGCAGCATCCCTTGACTGATGTTCAAGGTCTTCACAGTGAGAAAAAAAATGAATATGTGCAAACGACATGTCCAGAACCACTATGGAAGGGAGCAGAGCCAGAATCTTCAAGCAGCAGCAACTCATTCCAGAAGGACAAGCAGATCTTCTCAGACTGGAGAAAAGTCCACAAGGCAGAAACAAAACCTGCAAGTAGTAAGTGAACTTTTACTGTGCATTGCTGTAAGGTGCTATCCGGTACACCCTGAATTTTGTCCTTCTTCACAGCATGTTAGAGACACATTTCTTCTTCTTTGGAAGTGTTTTCTGTTTGCTTTCAAGAGAGTTACATCAGCCTCTCTGACCGATTCACTGTTCATGAATTACAAACTGATCTGTATTTTCTGTTATACCACTGATATAGGAACTCCTCATTTGGTGCTAACATGACCTCTGCAGACCTTCAGAGTAATTCTGCAGAGGGCAGCATTCATTAATCAGCTGCTGGATTTAGCTTTCTAAGACACAGCTCAAATTCAGACACTGTCAAGTCTGAAAATGCAGAATCCTGAAAAGCTCTTTTTCTTCTCTTTACTTTTCCTGTGGCTTTTTTAAATTTGGAACTACAAGAAGATAGGAAGTGATTTCATTCAGTAGCAACTTCAACTTGCAGCTTTACTTTTTATATGTTTTTGATGTGTTACAAAGGAAAGGAGTGGACAACTTATGCTCAGAGCTCAGGAGAAGTGTGTCCTTAGTTCTGGCATGTTTGCTGCTGTGGAAGAAGGCATCGCTTTCCTGGGCCTGTGCTCCGGGCTCCCGTGAAGCGTGCAGGGAAGCGTTACACAAGGAAGTCTGTGGCCTTAGCACACTTCGGTGGCTGTGGCCTCTGGCCCAGCACCTGGTGACATAAGGGCAGAAAAGTGATTCCCAGATTGTAGCTTGGCCGGTGATCTCCAGGGAGAGAAAGGCTGCAGGAGAGCCTGGGAGCCCAAGTGCAGTCCCGTGTCTCATTAAAGCTCTCTGGCAAACCTCTGAGCGTTTGCAGCATGACTGGCTCTCCTGGATACAGTCTCCGGAATGACTGTATCCTGAGGCACCTGCACTTACTGTCCCTTGTTATGGTCTGTGACCCTGGTGGTGTTTCAGGCATCGGGAGTTTGAGTTGTTTAGAGGGGGCTTCAGGGCAGACAGCATGAGAGCTGTTCCTGGGCTGGCTCTTGGCTCCCTTCGGTTCGGGTGTTCAGCTCATCCTGCAGAGCTGAGCGAGTGCCTTAATCCTGCAAGAGGCTTCTGGCAGCTCTGCACTGGGAGGAAGATCCTGCTTATAACTGGTTGGCATCCTCTCCCAGCCCTGCAGAGTGTTTAAATACAGATAAAACTTCAAGCAGCTGGAGTGTACTTGGGACCAAGTGTACAAAATGTGAGAGGAATAGTCAGCCCACACTTGGGTGTCTGCTTTCAGGAAGCCTGGGCATGCTAGCATTTTTTGGCTTCCAGCTTGCATCTGCTCAGCAGTGCTGCAGAGACTGAATCTCAGTGTGTTTCATTGCAGCTTTAGCAGAAATCAGTAGTACAGAGCCACAAAAAACGTGTGAGGATGTAAATTTTCTCTCTGAATTCTGCTTTGTGCAGCCTTCACCCATGCCAAGTGTTATTCCCAAGCATATTTTTCATTCTGAGACAGATAACTGAGGATTATAAAAGAGCAGAGGCTGCTCTACTGCAAGTTTTTTAGCTGAGATGGGCACAGCACTTCCCAAATGTAATTAGAAATCCTGAAACCTCTTATGAAGCAGCGTAATTTCTAAGGAATAATTTGGTGTTGATTGTTATTCTACCTTGCCCTTTAAGGGTGCTGTCACCTATGCAAGCACGTCACACTCAAATGTATTTGGGTCAATGCAGCTTTTCTTATAGATCACAACCTTTTGATTCCTCCTCACACCTTCTCCATCCTCCCTCCCTCCACAGATATATGTATATACAGAAGCAAGATAAAGAGGGTAAATTTTAGGAAGGAGAAAGGAAGAAGAAATGGAGTATTTGTTTTAAAATTTACTTAGGGGCACCTGACAGCTAAGCTGAAAAGGGTGATATTAATGGTGTCTCCTAAGCTAAACAGATCTTATGTTTGTGCACCAAAAACTAGTAAAGCAAATATTGCTGTGAAACCTCACATTTCGCTCAGTGCACTGTCATTTTCTAATATCTGGTATTTAGCTTAAAAGTGCAGTTGCAACATTTGGAGAATCTCTGCTTTCATTTTCAAGACCAAAGCGCATTTTGAGTTTTCATGGCAGTGATGGAAAAAAAGCTTACAAGGCTCTCATGTGAAAAGCCCTATACAAACAAATGGCTAGTTTCTTTTTTTTTAATCTCATATTTTGAAGCCTAACTTAAGGCAGATCCTC